GATCATTTTGGATGACTTTCCATTTTCACCTCACGTACTGAGATTGCAGCAGATTCAAATACCAGCATTTTGAAAAGAGTATTTTTTTCAAACTCTTAATAGTATGAGTTTTCTTCTCCAGGCCAACTAGACGTACTATAGCAGAAAGAGAAGACAGAGAAGCTACAATGGTGCTAAATAAATAATCCAGTTACGGGATTTGTTTAAAAAATCTAGGAATTTTTCACAGTAGTCATTCATTCATTGTGCTGGTATTTGGAAAACATTTATTTCTCATTTATGTTTTCAATTCCATTTTAATTTATGGCATAATTCTTGCGGAACATTCACAGGTAGATAGACTGTAGTTATGGAGTTTACATAAGACATGGGATTTTAGCGGTTCATTTTTAAAAAGATTATGAAGGGAGCCTCCACTCTATTACATTTTTTACACTGTGGGATTTCAGCCCACGTATCAAGTTACAAGATGCTAAGAGAGGGTCAGTTCAGTTCATCATTCTGCCTGAGAGCTGTAGCAGGATCATTTTGCCATTCCTTCTCAAGATCTAAAAATAAAATGGTACACTATTGAGTCTACAGTGGTGTATTACTATACTGGTAGCCTTTACTTCTTGAACACTGGCCTCTAGCTTGCAAGGACAGCAATCATAGGAGCCAGCGGACCCTTAATGACCACAGCCACACCATTTGAAATATTATTTAAGCAATACAAAAAAATTACACCAGAAAGTCTGGTCTAGTGTAGAACTAGTAAGATCCTTGCTTAAACTCTACCCCACTGTTGTAGCCCCAAACGCAACAGAAAGGTACTATGTACTCTGTACTTACCCATGACATTTATTTAGGATAGATTTTTTTTATTGTGGTAAAATATACATAGCAATTACCATCTTAACCATTTTTATGTCTACAGTTCAGTGTTATTAAATACATTCACAGTGTTGTGAAACCATCACCACCATCCAATCCCATAACTCTTTTCACCTTATGAAACTGAAACTCTTTACCCATTAAACAATAACTCCCTATTTCCCCCTCCCCCAGCCTGCGCAACTACCATTATGCCTTCTGTCTTTGTGAGTTTAACTACTCTGAGTAACTCATACAAGTGGAATCATAATAGTTTGTATCTTTTTGTGATTGGGTTATTTCACTTAACATAATGTCCTCAAGGCTCATCCATGTTGTAGGGTACTGCAGAATTTCCTTCCTCCTTTTTTAGTTAACATACGGTGTTATATTAATTTCAGGTGTACAATATAGTGATTTAGCAATTCCATACATCACCCAGTGCTCATCAAAAGTGCACTCCTTAATCCGCATCACCTGATTAACCCATTCCCCCCCCCACCCCTCCGCTCTGGTAACCATCAGTTTATTCTCTATAGTTAAGAGTTTCTTGGTTTGTCTCTTTCTCTTTTTTTAATCTTTGCTCATCTGTTCTGTTCTTTAAATTCCACATATGAATGAGATCATATGGTATTTGTCTTCTTTTTTTTTTTTTTTTTAAAGATTTTATTTATTTGACAGAGAGAGACACAGCAAGAGAGGGAACACAAGCAGGGGGAGGGGGAGAGGGAGAAGCAGGCTTCCCGCCAAGCAGGGAGCCTGATGCGGGGCTCGATCCCAGAACCCTGGGATCATGACCTGAGCTGAAGGCAGACGCTTAACGACTGAGCCACCCAGGCGCCCCGGTATTTTTCTTTCTCTGATTGACTTATTTCGTTTAGAATTTCCTTCCTCTTTAAGGCTGAATAATATTCCATTGTATGTATACACATTTTACTTATCCATTCATCCATCCATGGACACTTGAGTTGCTTCCATGTTTTAGCTATTGTGAATAATGCTTTTATGAACATGGGTGTGCAAGCATCTCTTTGAGACTGTACTTATAATTCTTTTGGTATATACGTAGACACCTATTTATTTTTTTATACTGGCTCCAAATAGCTTAAGTAATTTAAATAACCAGACTGTTAAATAGACTGCTCATTCAACATGGGCAAATTCATTCTTCTTTCATTGGAAAATATTTACTGAGAGCTTTCTTTGTGGTCAAGAATGGGCTAGATCCTGGGGGTACAATGATAGCAAAAATAACTTGGAAATACAAATGATAAGAGCATTTTCTTTGACTTAGGAAAAAAACCCCACCAGTTAAATATACTGACCAATGTCCATCCCTGTAATAAAGGGTGAAGATGATTAGAGAATTCACAAAGTGTTCTTTCTTACCTTTATTTTTACTCCTGTTCTGTGGTAAAGACTCAAGTATTTTCTTGTGAAGATGACATGCTTTTTCATTATTCCATGACGGAGTTCCAAGGAGTCAGGCTTACATTTAAAGGATGGCATTTAAACACTTTCTAAATAATTCAAGTACTGTATCAATTGAGTAACGCTCAAGAGCTGGTTTAAAATTCCTCTGTAGGGGCGCCTGGGTGGTACAGTTGGTTAAGCATCTGACTCTTGGTTTTGGCTCAGGGTCGAGATCTCAGGGTCATGATCTCAGGGTCTTTGTGCTCAGAGCAAAGTCTGCTTAAGACTCTCTCTTCCTCTCCCTCTGCCACTCCCCCCTGCTCTCTCTCTAAAATAAATAATTCTTAAAAAAAAATAAAATTCCTTCTGTAATACTCAACAATGAATTGGGATAGGGAAAAGGGGGAAGGAAGGAGTAACATGGGGACAAGAATTCCAGACCAATTCATCCATAGTTCAGTGATCAAAAATGTTACCTGTCTTGTTTCATTTCCAGCTTTTGTTACTATCTTATTTGTTCACTTTCGGATTTTCACTGGATGCCCAAATGAAAGGAAAAATTTGGGGTAGGATCTAACCACAGACAGGTGGACTGTATCTTTTAGTTCCAAAATGATGCTTTCTATCACAGTACCCAGTGGAAAAACAAAGAGGGCCGGGGAGCGCCCAGGGATCCACAAAGCTGTGCAAGGCCTTACTGGCAGGTGCAATACTTTCTCAGAGGTCCTGAAAGTCTCCTTTGAGTTACCTTTGCATGTCTCGGCTCACGTCATCTTCGTGGTGATACAAGATTGTTGATGCCTGTGGCCAAATGAAGGGTTGGCTTATTCATCCAATTTTCCACCAAAAGGAAGAAATGATCAGAGAAGGCCAAAGGGTAACCAGGAACCTCAAATTTTGCCTGAACTTTTCATAAGATTGAGAGACAGGGCTACTTGGGTCTTTCACAAGAGGGATTCTTCTCTGGATTAGAACTGTGATAGTTCCCAACCTTCTAGGGCGACTATTAGGAAAATGGAGGAGGATGGCTGTGAGTCTTTGTGGCTCCAGGAGCCATCTTATCCTTCAATTCTTCATCAGTTGTGATTTCTTCCATGAAGTCTTCCGTAATTTTCTAACTTGGAGTAATTTCTCTTTTCACTGCAACAATATCCTCTCCTCTGCCACTAAGTATTGTATTTCTTATGTTATATACATGTCTGGGCTTTATAACTAAGCCTCTTGGAGGCAGGATCCCCACTAGATTCACCTGTGTATACCCAACTGCACTTACGGTGCCCAGCCCAATCTTTAAAAAAAAAAAAAAAAAGAGATTAATGAATAAGTAGGTAAATTTGAAGAAGACCTGAGATCCTTCAAGTAAGTAGAAGATATAGGTCATTCACTGCAGAGAAAATAGGGTTTCCTGTGTTCCTGGCAGGGAGGGAGATCAGGGAAAGCTGGGGACAAAGCTGGGATGGAATCCACTGACCATGGCATTTCAAGAGCATACATAATGAGTACACTGATGTTGGGGTGCAGCTTTTCAAACCACTACCCGTGCAACTATTTGTTCCATATTTCATTAAGATGGCTAGCATGCTAAAATGTTATCTTGGCATAAACGGAATACTTTTTCTATGAAGGGCATTCTTTTATGTTATTTTGCTGAAAAATCAAAGAAGGCAGGTCCACTCTTAGCATTTTCATTTTACAGGTGAGGATGCTGAAGTGAAGAAGGTTGAATGACTTAATGTTCTTATTCCATTTTCCCTAAGAATGTAGTCAGAAATGAAAACCCAACTTATATTACGAGCACTCATTATTTTGTATGAAGTCAACATTTCAATAAACACCAAGGTCTCATGTAAGTCCAAATTGTTATCATTAGTCAAGTGACATTGAAGGGATTGTTGTGTTTTACAGACTCATTATATTAGGATATTAAAGAAGGCCAGCATGCATCACCTAGCTTGAGTATGGTGATAGATTTGATAGTATTCTCTGAAGTCTTTCTCATTAAATTTGATTTGGCTTGTGTGGTAATATTGTAGTCTTCAACAGGAATGTAGGCAAATGAAGTTAATAATACATTAAAATGAATCATAGTGGAAATCAGGAAGGAGGGGAATAGTTATTGAGTTCCTGCAGGGACTAAAGTTTAGTTAGTTAAAAAAATAACTTGATTCTCCATCTCTGTGAAAAACTTAGCTTTAAAATACAAGTCAACTGTAATTTAAACTTCTGTATTTGGGCTACTTGCCACAAAGGAACATGGGTGTTAAATATAATTAACAGAGATCACAATATTTTCACTAGTTATAGGTAAGGAGGATCAGGCATACTGGAAAAAAATGCCTACTCCAGGTTCTCTGGAGAATAACTAGTGGCCCAAATGACAACCCATATTCTTGTAAAATACACTTTCCAAAAGAGTGAGAGTCCTTTTACTGTTTACAAGTTATGCAAAGAATGAAATACAAAATATTTCCCTTTTTTAGTCACTAAAAATGTGTGTATCTATATTAATGATCACATAAACCTGAGTTTATGCTGGGCACTTTTACTTACAGCTAAAAAAGAAGAGAAAAGATAAGAAAAGAAAAGACCACTAGCACCTACTTAGAATGTGAACCATGTTTATATGAAAACAAGTATTTTGTCATCAGTCTATTTTCCATACCTTTTGCAACTGGAATCTTTATATTTAAAAAATTTTTACTTATTTTTAAAAGATTTTATTTATTTATTTGACAGAGAGAGAGAGAGAGAGGGAGAACATAAGTAGGGGGAGCAGGAGAGGGAGAAGCAGACTCCCCACTGAGCAAGGAGCCCAATGTGGGGCTCAATCCCAGGACCCCGGGATCATGACCTGAGCTGAAGGCAGATGCTTAACTGACTAAGCCAAGCGCCCCTATTTTTAAAAAATTTTTAACAGAAATTAGAATTTTAGTAGTTCCAGAAATATAACAAAGATGGCTTTAAACTGTCCTATATATTGGTAATCTCCTAAAAACTTTACAGGTTTATCTTGTATTCCAAGGCACAGTCTTCATAGAGACCAAATTAGAGTGAGACCAGACAACAGAACAAAAGAGAAGGGAAATATTCATGTCAGCTGTTGAAAACTAGTTTCGTAAGGCAAGGCCTAGAAATCTTTATCTCTGGCATGTTTAGTATGGAATGCATACTTGATTTTCATTCAGCTACTAGAGAAAGGTATTCTACAATGACAGATAGCTTTATCAAAATTACAATTAGCTGGCTTCCTCTGTAGGGAATAGCAGTTGGGTAAGTAAGACTGAAGTGAGAGCTCTTACCAGCTTTCTCAGAAATGATTTCCCCATCATGGGTATTTGGTCAACTGATGAGGTCTACCATGAACATATGGTTTCTAGAGGAATGAGCTGGGATCTGCTAACATTTTTAAAAGGAACACTTAGTAAATGCTGATCTCTAAGCAATAAATTGTCAATTTATTTAATTTTCAAGAAACGTTTTTCAAAAAATATTTTTTTCCTCTAGGATTAACATGCTCATTCTACTTAGATTGTTTACAGTGCTTTTTATTCTGCCTAAATTTTTACAATAAGGTGAAATAAAAGATTCAAAAATGGTTTCATAATACATGGAAGATGAAATCTCACATGGATAGCATATAGTTTGATTCTTACATATGCATGATTAATCAAAATTGTATCCTTAAATGACGACTTGATATTTTTCCAGTTTTACTCAAACACTACTGTGTACCATTTATTTTACCACTGATATTTTTAGGATTAACTTTATTAACAGTATGATATTTTCATGCATTAAATTTTACACTAGTTTTAATATTCACAATGTTTGATTAAGTTCAAATCAACAAATATTCAAGCCTACATGAAAAATGAATGAAATATTACCTTTTCACATAATCAGCTAACCACTTTTTAAGAGTAAAAAGTTAATATTGGGATTTAAAAACCTACATTTCCAATGTTACTGTTAATTCAACCATATATATATTACTTAGGCCACAGGACTGCCCATTAACCTTTCTTGTCGGAGAGCAATTAATCTCTTGAACCACTTTTCCTCAGCATCAGCTTTCTCAATAAATAACTGAAATAAGAAAAAGAAAAAGGAAAAATGTTATTGTTTGCCAATAACTTGGATTTGACCTTATGTAACATAAATTACCTTTACAGAAAACATCTTTCAGCACAAGATTTGGATACTGTTTAACTTTTGGTGACTTCTCAACTGAAGATAATCTATTTGGAATTAATAATGTTTAGAAAGTCTTGGAGAAAAAGTGTAATAGCAACATTGTTTGTTAACAATTTTATGCCGTGTTTTGTGAAGTTTATTTCCTACGCTTTTTCTCAGAGACACAGCGGAATGACACGACTTCAGAGTAGATGGTAAAATACGATGTCCGTGACAGGCTCAGTTCAATGAACCAATGAGAGCTGAGGCAGAAGTAGATCTTTTAGTGCCAGATTTAAAAAACCAACCAACCTCTTCTTTTTGCCTATTTTTGTTAAGCATAGGAAGACTACTTCTAAAAGTCAGACAACACGATTTGGATCATACCAGATTCAAATCCATGTAACTGCTCTAAGGGATGGGGGTCAGCTGCCTATTTCTAGCAAATAGGAATATATGAATCCATTTCCTCCAACAGTCTTTTTGTCATCAGCACAAAATGACAACAGTTTGAATTCATTTCAGTCAAGTAGACTTCAGTGGACATTCTTCAGATCTAAGGATCTTACATTCGGATGGGCCAGAGAATTGTCATCTTGGTACTTGATGGCAGTGGGGATGCTGCTGGGGTCTATTTCTTTTTCACTACTGGGAGGGTCAGGAACTACTGTTGCTGGTCCCGATGTCGCAGCTGCATGCTTCACCTCACTAGGCTCCACGGACTGAAACATGATACATAAATGTTTTATTAATTAGATCACAATATATAATTAAAATTCTGCCTTAACAATATTTTTTATTTGGAATAGCAATTGTTCATTTAGTCTCCTTTGAGATAATACTAATCATAAAAAGACCCTGGGTGATGAGTAAGAAAAATTCTGAAAACAGGCAAAAAAATACAAAAACATGGAGAAAATGTTGATTTTTTTTTTTATGATCAGCATGTTTGTCTTGAGAAATTGGGACTTAGGTGTCTATACTATAGAAAAACACATTTCATAAATCTAAATTCTATTAGTCAAAACAAGCAACAAATCTCCAGCATTCATTTGGTCTCTTTAGAGATGAAAAGCAAATTCAAAGGTTTTGTTTTTGCTTTTTATTTATTTTTATTATTATTATTTCTAAATATTTATTTGAGAGAGAGAGAGCACAAGCAGGGCGGAGGGGTAGTGGGAGAGGGAGAAGAAGACTCCTGCTGAGCAGGGAGCCCGATGCGGGGCTCGATCCCAGGACCCCAGGATCATGACCTGAGCTGAAGGCAGACGCTTAACTGACTGAGCCACCCAGGCACCCTGTTTTTGCTTTTTAAATAACAGCCTCAATGAGATATAATTCACATATCACAATTCATATAGCTTTCAGCATATCCACAGAATTTTGCGACCAACACCACAAGCAACCTCAGAACATTTTCATCCTCCTCCCACAAAACCCCATACCCATTAGCAGTCACTGCTCCCCATTTCTCCCAGCCTCCCCATCCCTATGCATATCATCTATTTTGTCACTATGGATTTGCTTATTCTGGACACTTCATACAAAAGATCATACATTATGTAGTTTCTTGTTGTTGTGGGTTTGTTTTGTTTTCTGTGACTGGCCTCTTTCATTGAGCATGCTTTCAAGGTTCTTCCATGAAAGGCTGAAGCATGTATCAGTACGTCATTCGATTTTATTGCTGAATGATAATATTCCATCATGGAATACTAGTGCCAGGCGCTGGGCTCAGGGCTGCGGATGCGAGGACCGAGAAATCACTGCTGCTGCCTGGAAGAGGCCAGTCATGCTGTGCTCTCTTGCGCTAATTCCCATACTTCCCTGTCTGGGAAAGGAAAAGGCCAGGGAAGTGGCTAATCAGCAGCAAGGCTGCAGGAATGACATGAAATGGACTAGATGAGAAGCTGAAATCGGAAATTAAAATAAAAAAACCCAAGATGACTGGGAGATCAATTCCACTACTCGGCCTTTTTTCTACACCTACTGGTTCTATATGTGTACTTTTTGAACCTCCATTTTCTTTTAATGTAGCTACTTCTGAACATCTACTTCTCTGAGTGAAGGGTAAAACAGATGTCACTGGGAAAAACATCTAGAAAATGAAACCTACACAAATTAGTTAATCCTTTCTTAGAATGATTTATCTTAGAACTGGATATCCATCTTCAGTATTTATTGAGTGCTACTAACTGCTAAGCACTGGGTACACAAGGGAGAGTAAAATAGGTATGTTCCCTGTACCAAGTGGAGATCACATTTTGCTAATGGAACCGACAGATAACTTACAAATAGATATCAAAATAAAGACATAATCACATTGTAACAAGGGACATAGAGATACTTAAAAAAATAACTGTTAAATCTGGCAGTTTTCTTCTTGTATTTTGAAGCCAATACTCCCCCCACCTCCACCCCCAGGTGTCAAACCTTTCTATATTTCCAACATACTAGGCCTAGAAGGCCTACAGCCCTGTATGATATTATACTGACCCTTTATAAAACGGAGGACGTAGATCAGTAAAGCCCAACATTCTGCATAGGGAAAGGTGGGAAGTATGCTAATCTAATGACGTCCAGACATCATTTTTTGGTCTATGCTGCATGCAGAGAACAGAAGAGCATGTCATTCTGCCTGTCTTAGCCATGCTTTGATAGGGCTCAGCTAGGAGACTGGCAGTATTGAACTGCCTTGAAGAATTGTGGAGTGTTGTTATTCTAGTTGCCAAAGATGTGGATCGCACATATTCAGGCGGCAGAGATAACATTCTATTATAAAAGTGAACTGGTCTCATTCTGTTTATACCTACGGTACATTAACATTTTCTTGGAGAAGTGCTTATGTACATTTCAGGTAAAGTTTTCAGAGATTAGGACCAGAGCATGGAAGTTACTATTTAAGTGGATAATTAAAAAATATATGACAGGAATCATCAATTGCTTCTTTATTTTTTATTTTTTTTAAAGATTTTATTTATTTATTTGACAGAGAGAGAGACAGCGAGAGCAGGAACACAAGCAGGGGGAAGGGGAGAGGGAGAAGCAGGCTTCTTGCAGAGCAGGGAGCCCGATGTGGGACTCGATCCCAGGACTCTGGGATCATGACCCGAGCTGAAGGCAGACGCTTAACAACTGAGCCGCCCAGGCGCCCTGCTTCTTTATTTAAGTGAGGAAAACTGTTGGAGAAATTTTGACTATAAAAAAACCCACAACATGGCCACTATCAAGTATCTGGCTTTGAGTAGCACTGCCACCTGGTGGTTCAGTTTGGAAAACTTGTTTTAAAATGTACTTCAAGTAAAAGAGTAAGTTAGACCCTGCTGCTTTAGGGTTATTTATCCTCTTTCTGAACATAGCGGGGTGTCTGCCAGCTACAACTATTTTAGGGTTGAATAACTGGCAATAAGCTTATTTGGGACAGAAGTTTGGAAACAAACTGCATCTTGGTTCTTGAAGATGATATAGCAGGAACTACCAATTATCTACTCACACAAGAGAGAGATGATTGCAGAGAGTTAACCTGTTAAATCTATATATGTTGACGGAGACACATGTCTAGCATGTTATTGGAAATAGCCACTTTCTGGTAACCGCTCCTTAGCTTAATTAGTGGAATTCACACAGCTGAAGAAAGACTCTATCAACTGAAGGGGTGGTTAGTATAGAGAAGCCTTTTTCAAAGATATAAAATTTATGCCAATGTGTGTAGAACTGTCCAGAAGAGAAAGATGTTGAAACCTGGGTCATGAGTAATTCAGTCCTCAAGAGAGTTAGTCTTTGCTGTGCATCAGGGATAGCTCCTATCTCCCCATGATCTGGGTGAAATGGTCCTCAAGATAATTTACCTCCTTTTGCTAAGTAATCTCCTGATAAATAATTCAGCTTCTTGGGCATCCTGAATCGCTACCTTATATTGCAGACACAGACATTTTAGAAACTGGAAAGGGATACCGTTTTCTAAACTAATAAATTGGCCTTCTGTTTTATATTACAGTTGAGTGTAAATTTATTCACTGTTGGCCCATCACTGCTTTTCTGATCATTTTGAAATGCAGTGACTAATAAAAGTCCAGTGTTAGATGGCTAATACTTTAGACTGTTGTACATTCACCAAGGTAAATGCCATCTTCTTCTTTTTTTTTTTTAAGCATACTCCCCTGTTAGTGAATGCTTTCTTTATACTTCAATAGGGAACGTGCACTGAGTTCACAATTATGAGAGACATTGGATGAGTAAAAACAAACATGGGCTCTGGAGTTGAATAAATTTTGTGTGGATGCTCTTGTCATTTATTAGCACTTTGACCATGGGTAATAAAATTTGCTGAGCCTCAGCTTGCTTAGTTTTAAATAAAGGTTACTGGGATTTTAGATAACTTACATATGCTAAATGTCTAGTATTATTGGTAGCTATTATTATTTTAGTCACTTCAAGTTATTTAAATATAAAAAACAAAATGGGGCTATGTTACAACATTGTTTTACAACATTTGCTTCATGCTTTAATGTTTCCAAATGCTGGGCTGAAACAAATTGGCTCAAAGCTGCTGTCTGTACACTAAACCAGTAAGCTACTACATAAAGCTGTAAAGTACTTTTTAAATTATTTGCTTAGGAATACAATAGGTCACCAAGTTTCCAATGAGAATTGTAGGGTCTATAAACCATAAAAAATTACATAAAACAAGCTGTGACCCAACCAAAATGAGAATCCTTGCATCTCCAATTCCTTTTAAGGAAGCCAGAGACAAATGCAGCCCTGAGCATTCAGGAAGAGGAAGAGGTGGAGCAGAAGCAGGGAGAGGAAGAATAATAACAGCTTTTATTTCCTGAGTGTCAGGTGCTTGGCTAACTATTTTATGTAAAGTATCTTGCTCATCCTTATAAAAACTTCTGCCAGGGGTATTACCTCCCTTTTAAGATAAGAGAGCCATGGGGTTATCATGTGGTTTAAGGACACATAGCCAGTAAATGACAGAATCAGACCTGACCCTGCATCTGTCTGACCCTACATATCATGCTTTTGACCACTGCTTCCTAACTGCTAAACCTAAGATTTATTGTTATTTGGTTTTAATTTTAGAGGAAAGAAATAAATGTTGGTAAAATATTTTAATTACATACATTTTTAAGTGGCTCAACTCACAGTGCTGGATTAATATTTCTAGGTTGCTTTTGCTTCTCCCTCATACTTATCCAATCTAGAACTAGCCAGCTCAAGGCCTTCCAGAATTGATTTTATTTCTTTGTGTGAATTATTGTTAAGGGCCACCTCTTTTAAAAGACAGCTGAAACAGTAGATAGGTTTTTCTTGCACAGATTCATGAACATTCCTTATGAAATTGAGAGGCCCCTGTTTCATCTTTTTTTAAAAAAGATTTATTTATTTATTTTAGAGAGAGCGAGAGCATGTGTTGCGGGGGAGGGGCAGAAGGAAAGGGAGAGAGAGAATCTCAAGTAGACTCCCTACTGAGTGTAGAGCCTCACGTGGGGCTCAATCTCACGACCCTGAGATCATGACCTGAACTGAAATCAACAGTCAGATGCTTAACCAACTGAGCCACCCAGGTGCCCCTAGAGGCCCCTATTTCATCTTAATCCTCTCTATCCCTAAAGGTGGCATCTGAATTAGAAGTGCAAGAAAAGCTATATTGAAGGTGAGTGAAAATTCCAACTTGGCATTGAACACTGAAACAACAGAAACTAGTTATTAAAATAATTAATAATGATGGTCCCTTTGATCAGAGATATAGGTGAAATTCCTTTATATTGGTCCCATGGAAAGCCATTTAACTATACAGGCTTTTATTAGAGATTGAGGAAGAAGACTTTTTTCTCTTGGATTTAGTCAGTTAGCTTAAGATTAATAACCTTCAGAGGTTAAGGGGAAATAATCTTTCAAAACTTTTCTAGGGGATACAATGAGGTGAAAACATTACTAATTCTGGAATTGAAATATACAGATATTTTACATTTATACCTTTCAAAAGACTTTTAAGGTAAAACCAGATCTAAAGATTTTCTGTTTTCTCAGCAAGAGGTCTGCCTTACTGGTGAGCATGGAAACTTGGGGAATATTAAAAAATGTAAATGGGGTAAGGTGTTGATACTTAAGACAGACTGAGCACCTGGGCTCCTGGGTGGCTCAGTCGTTAAGCGTCTGCCTTCGGCTCAAGTCATGATCCCAGGGTCCTGGGATCGAGCCCTGCATGGAGCTCTGTGCTCTGCAGGAAGCCTGCTTCTCCCTCTCCCACTCCCCCTGCTTTTGTTCCCTCTCTCGCTGTGTCTCTCTCTGTCAAATAAATACATCTTAAAAAAAAAACAAAAACAAAAACAGACTGAGCACCTACAGTAGAAGTTTTTAAGCGCTATGCTTAGTTTACAGAATGTACTTAGATACAGAATAATTTAGGTGCTAGAGGATGTTATTTAAAAATAAGCATTTATGGGATCAAGAACCATGTTAGATATTTGATACTCATTATATTTACTCCTCAACAACTCCAAAAAGTAGGTATTATTGGTTCTATTTTATGGATTTGGAAATTGAGGGATGAAGAAGTTGAGAAGCTTGCTAAAGACCATAAATCATGGCAGGAAGTGTGAGAGTTAAGATTCAAACTCAGATCTCTTTGAGCCCAAAGCCCCATCCTCCTTCCTCTTTATCAGGTACACTTCTGATCAATTTCCTTGCTCATTGCTGGTTTTGCTAGTTATTGGAGAAGCTGCCAGTATTTTGGAGGAAAAACAATGGAAATAAAAATAAGTATATTATTATTATTATTTTAAAAATTTTTTTAAAGGATTTTATTTATTTGAGAGAGAGAGATCACGAGCAGGGGGGGGAAGGGCAGAGGGAGAAGCAGACTCCCCACTGAGCAGGGAGCCCGATCCCAGGGGCTCAATCCCAGGACCCTGGGACCATAACCTGAGCTGAAGGCAGACGCTTAACTGACTGAGCCACCCAGGCGCCCAAAAATAAGTTTATTATTAATAATTAGTATCAAAAGGGAAAAAGTTGTTTAGAGGAAAACCTGGTATATTAACTAGAGAGGAATAAGTATTTCCACAGAAAGAAAATGCTGTTTATCTTGAGTCCAGTGAGAGCTGGGAAGTCAGGGTGAACCTCAGAAAACAAATATTAGGAAAGTAAATTTAAAAGTAAATTACAATTCTTTGGGGGCATATGAATGACCTTTTAATATGCAAGATATTCAAGAGTAAGATATTAAATAAAATGAGCAACTATACTTATGGATGTCCATTTTACAGTTCCACCATTTTTTAGGAGTTGTGGTGGCAAACTTTTACAAAAAGTTCAAATGAAATCAGCAAATGAAGGCAGGGACCACGGGTTAACCAGGGATGGCTGGTGCTGCACACTCAGGCATCAGCACATGCTCGAGTCACTTCTCCAGGAAGATTTAAAAAGTGTATGGTAACTGAAAAGATGTTCATGTCACAAGCAACAAAAGAAATGCTAATAGGAGGACAAAAGGTCAATTTTTGCCTGACTACACCTAGCAGGTAAGTAAATGTGAAAAAGGACTTGGTGTTAACCATGGTGTGAGAGGCAGATCTCTCCTTGGACTTGTGGGCAGAATCTGGATTGGGATGTTAGTGGAGGATGATTTTGGGAACATGTGTAGAAATAAATAATATTAACCTTAAGTGAGTAACTCCATCTTGAAAAATTGATAATAATGGATATTTACAAACATGTATTAATACTTTCAAGCTTACAACTACTTAAATTATCTAGTGTCAGAGGAAAAAAATAAATGAATTATGATAAATTTGTCAGCAGGATGCTATACAGTCATTAATATATTTACAGCTGTAGAATATTTTTGAATAAGTGGGTAACAATACCATGTCTTTACTACATGTATGTTATTAAAGAATACATGTATCTCACAGTAGAATGCCTTTTCTGACTAAAGGAACAGATTCCTAAAGGTGGTCCTGATAATAATTGAAAGAATACATGCAATATTCAACAGAAATAAAACGCCAATCAAAACTCCTTTTACTGGAGTTGAATAAGTGATACCAATCTGGGCAAAGAGTGCAGACACATGTTACTATTTGGGTAATAATCGGATTGTTAAAGCTCTCTTCTAACTTTTCTCTAGCAGTGTCAATTCAGAAAGTAGATGTAGACACTTGAAAAGAAAACTATATGTTCATGAAATGCATATTACTGCTTTAGAACTGTTGACATTTTACTTTGTCTTCTCAGTGAATTTTAAAATAAAAAATGGCATCAGATACATTTTTACAAGTTAAACTTGAACTGCTTCTCACTGATTCATTCTCTCTCTCTCAATAACACGCTGACACTCGCTCACCCTACTTCATCTATCTGTTAGAAGAAGCACTTACATTTAAGTCAAATCCATTAATAAAGCATCTCCTCAGTGGGATTCTAAAGGCTTATTCATAATGTCTGGATGAAAACTTACCTTTTTGACTTCTTTACTTGATCTGAATGTCTGCTGAACAAAAGAATCACTTTCAATGGCTTCAATTTCTTTTACTCTTTTTACTTGTTCAACCAGGGTGGCTTGGTCTAAAAAAAAAAAAAGGGTATGATGTCAGTGTATTTTGGTGTGTAAGCTTGTTAACAACAGTATTCTAAGCAAGGTTCTTTCTTTCTATGAAGTAATTTTATGACTTCTGGAATTTAACTGGATGAAAAGATGTTATAGTTAAGCTCTAATAAAAAACTATTTTCCCCTTGAGATCCACAAATACACATTCCTACACACCAAGTCTCTCACCTAAAACCTAATAAAAGATTGCTGAGAAGGTACTGCTATAATGATGCAAGCTAATCTGGGCTAATCTCATGGGAGGGCTTTAAAAAAAAAAAAACTTATTATGGAAATACATATAAAAGGAATTAACAGCACAATGAATCCACCTGCACCCATCACCAGCTTCTATAGTCATGAACTCTGTTACTTATTTATTGATCGTCACTTTATTTTTTTGGGTAGATCTGGAGTACTCAAAAGTACCTCCCAGACATCATGCCATATCACCCCTAAATATTTAGTAGGCATTTCAGATAAGGACTTAAAAAAACCAAACAGTAATATAACTATAATACCATCTTCACATCCAACAATATTATCAATAATGCCTTAATATCATCTGATAGAGTCCATGTTTAATTTTCACTGATTGTCCAAAAAAAATTTCTTTTTACAGGTAGTTTGTTTGAAACAGGATCCAAACAAGGTCCACACATTAGACTTGGTTGATAAGTATCTTAAATCCCTTTTAATCACTGACAGTCCTCAGGCCCTCCCTTTCATTGCCATTTATTTATTGAAGAGAATGGATCATTTACACTTGAAAATTTTCTACATTCTAGATCTGGATGATTTTATTCTTATGATGTCATTTAACATGTTCCTCTATTCCTCATATTTTGTGTAAACCAATAGTGAGGTGTAGAGGCTAGATAAGATTCAGGTTCAATTTCTTTTGGTCAAGGATACATCATAGGTGATGCTGCATAATTCCCATTACACAGTATCGGGACATGCTTCCCCTAATTTTAAAGATGTTAAGATTGATCAGTGGGTCCAAGGTGATGTCAGCCTGGCCCTATTATAAAGTTCTTCATCAACAATTCACTTAATGTTTTTGGCAGACATTAATGTTTGTTGATTAGATCCATTATTTCACTTAATGTTGCAAAATGGTGATTTTGCAATTCTATTATTCTCCCTGCATTTATTAGCTTTGATTCCTCTGTTGTGAAGAACTTCCCTTGCTGACTGTAAAGAACAGTCTGTACAGGAAAGGCAGAATAAATGTTTAATTTTTCCCTTTACTTGTCAATTTTGATCCAAAGATGAGCATTATGAGTTCCTGAATATTTGTATATTTAACATATTTTACTCCATGTAATCATTTTCATATTTTGTTGCTCAAATTATTCTGCCTTTGGGTAGTGGGGACCTCCTGAAGTTGGCCCTGCATCCTTTTGATATGATTCCTTATAATTAAGGGGTGACAAGAAGTTCTGGGCTCATCTTGTACAGTTCCTGCCCAAGACCTGAAATTAGCTATTTCTCCAAATGGCTCGGACTGCTTTTAGTGGGGAATGATGTTTAAAGACAGTAACTTGGGCACCAGGGGTTTCACTGTTCCTGGATTGTCACTGCTTCTCAGCTTTTTCAGTGGGTGGGACAGGAAATGCATATTTTAAGAAAAAAAAGTAATATGAGTTCATGCTGATACTATCAATCAAATTAAAGATTAGAGGAATTTTAAAGTCTCTGATTTTATATTTGTATTATCTTTTCTCTCACTTTAAAGATCTTAATGATATGATCAAAAGTACTTACTTGTTTCTCTTAATATGAGTCGAGTATGCATTAGTTTCAAAATAAAAAGATTGATATCACTATTAATAAGATGAATTAATACAGTTTAAAATTCCTTTATGGTTCTTTTTATCTCAGGAATTATTCCACTGATGAAATGTCAAAACAGTATACTCTAAAGTTACCTAAAATAATTCTCCATGTGATTATGCTACCAACTAGATATCTAGCTAGGTTCAATTTGTTTCAATTCATTTTTGATTTAACCTTGGTTTTTGTTCTGTTGTCCTTTTGATTAATATTTTTTTATTTGAGTATAGTTGACACACAATGTTACATTAGTTTCAGGTATACAACACAGTAATTCAACAATTCTATATGTTCTGCTATGCTCACCGTAAGTGTAGCTACCATCACCATAAAATGCTATTATAATACCATTGACTATATTCCCTATACTATACCTTTTGTTCCCACGACTTATTCATTCCATTACTGGAAACCTGTACCTCTCACTCCCCTTCACCCATTTTGCCCATCTCCCAACCCTCCTCCCCTCTGGCAACTGGCAGTTTATTCTCTGTATTTGTAGATATGATTCTGCTTTTTGTTATTCACTTGTTTTGTTTTGCTTTTTAGATTCCACATGTAAGCGAAATCATATAGTATTTTCCTTTTTCTGTCCGACTTATGTCACTTAGCATAATAGCCTCTAGGTTCATCCATGTTGTTGCAAATGGCAAGATTTCATCCCTTTTTAAAACGGCTGAGTAATATTCCAGTGTGTGTGTGTGTGTGTGCACATACCGCATCTTCTTTGCCCATTCACCTATCAGTGGACACTTAGGTTGCTTCCATATCTTGGCTACTGTAAATAATGCTGCAATAGACACAGGGGTCATAGATCTTTTTGAATTTGTGTTTTTGTTTTCTTTGGGTAAATACTTAGAAGTGGAATTGTGGAATTACTGGACCATGTGGTAATTCTATTTTTAATTTTTTGAGGAACCTCCATACTGTTTTTCCACAGTGGCTGCACCAATTTACATTCCCACCAAGAGTGCACAAGGGTTCCCTTTTCTCCATGTCCTTGACAACACTTGTTGTTTCCTGTCTTTAATATTTGCTTTTTAGTTGCATAAAACACGATTCCAAAGTCAAAACACAAAACATCATTCAGAAGAGTCTAGGTTTCCTTTCCTATCCTGTTCTTTCAGTTCTTCCCCCAATCCATAGTTAGCCATTTTTATTAGGTTTCGGTTTTTATCCTTCCTTTGTTTCTTTCTGAAAATATAAGTATACATATTCTCTTCTTTCTTATACAAAATTAACATACCATACATTATGTCTTCAATATCACCCTACCCCAGTATAGAGACTTCCCTATTCTATTTTACAGCTGTATAGTTATCTATTTTATGGTTTTATGATAGCTTTTTTCCACCAATGCCTTATAGGTGGTCATTTGAGTTGTTTTCAGTCTTTTGCTTTTCCAGTTATTGCTTTAAGAAATGTATTGTTTCATATTTTTGTTTCTTTTTTTTCACATGCTAGGCTGGGAAGGAAAAATGCAACATTATGGTTCACACACTCACTGTTTAAGCTCTTGCTCTAAGATGATATGAATACATAGCTGAATTCAACAAGCACCTAAAAATTTTTGGGATTTTAGACTTCATGGACAATAACTAGATTTACATTCTAAGAAACAACCATAAAAAGTGGTTTGACAATAAGGTAGTTGTTTGCATTAAAGTAATTTTTACATCCCTGCAGATCTAAGATTAAAATGCTAAGTGTTATAAAGAGTATGAAAAGAAATTTGGTTTAATAATTTCAATAAAAATTAACAATTTATGAAAAATCTTTGTTTCAACTTTTGGCCGACTGCAAATTGTAACTATATAGACTTATGCAACCTACAGTTTATTTAGGGGAAAGACAGTCTTCTGGAGATGTGTCCCTGATAGCTCTAACCAGTCCTTTCTCATGTGAAAAATAATGCATGGAATGTTTGGAAGTAATCGCTGCTAGAGCCAACACTCCCAACTTAGGAAGAATATATTTTACAACATAAAAGCAAGTACTGTTAGAGTGTCATGGATGAGCAAATAGTTCCACATGCTTTAGAATAAAAGCTCCTGCGGATTTTAATTATGCAATGTACTAATTGAGACCATAAAATGAGAAGATTCGGGCGCCTGGGTGGCTCAGATGGTTAAGCGTCTGCCTTCGGCTCAGGTCATGATCCCAGGGTCCTGGGATCGAGTGCCACATCGGGCTCTCTGCTCCTTGGGAGCCTGCTTCTCCCTCTGCCTCTCTCACTCTCTCTGTCTCTCATGAATAAATAAATAAAATTAAAAAAAAATAAAATGAGAAGATTCTTTGCCCAGCTAATTTATTAATATGAACATACTTATACCAGTGGATGATATTCTTTATTACTTATATGTATAATAGTGTTAATATGGCAGAGAAAAGTCATAATGGATACCATTCCATGTGATCCAACTTTAATTCATCAATGTGAAAATACACTTGTTTGTATAGGTCTTAGTTAGTCTCACAATTATTTCACTATCATTAATTCCCAACCAAAAGATAGTATTTCAGACTTCAGGATGATGTCTCATATGTATCAACTATTTGAAGCCTTGGGTTTTTCTCAAACATATTCTCTCATTTGGATTTACAAAGCACATCATTAGTATTAAAAGTCAGAGGTGAGCTCACGAATAGTATTTGATGTCTAAAGCTTATAGTGTTTGCAGCTTCAAATATGGACATACAACCAGCTCCTAATACAAATAAAAGTATTATCACAAAAGCTGGCCCAAGGGCCAGCATGTTTAACAAAATAGCATTGGAGAAATTATAAAGGAAGGAAGGAAAAAGATTAGAGAAAACCAGAACGTTATCTTTGTGTTTCTTTAAAGATCACTTCAGGACTAACAAAGTGACAGGGCAGATAAGAGAAAGCCAGTTTGCCTGACGTACAATATGAAAATAAACCAATGTAGCTTTTTCCTTTCAATGTGGGAAACATTTTACCAGTGATATTTAAATTAAAGAGTAAGAGAGATATTTAAGTTAAAATTTGAAAAATTCATGGGAGGTTTACATTTTTAGTCTTGTAAATAGCTCAGCTTCATTCTGTTTGAAAACAGGCATAAAACATGTTTTAAAGGGCTTCATACTCAAAATTCAAATATCAATGCCCACAAATATA